AAGGAACAAATAGGAAATGTATATCAATCTAACATGTTTCACTTTTATTAAAGCTTCATCAGAGATTAAAAGAAAACAGGGAAGAATATATTCTTAAAGAGACAAGCCATAAAGTAAAAACCTTATGACTCCCCACAACAATGGCTGACTGCACAAAAGTGAAGATAAAACTCCCACTAGACAGTCACACACACACAATTACAAATACACATTACCATCCATTGCCCACTTAGACATACAAGAATTTTCACAAACCTACACAAATATAGAATTATCCATGGCTTTAATACACATGACACATGTCTGACCAATGAGAACTGAACAAACATAATTGAAAATACCAATGTTTCTGTCTGTTTTCTCTCAATCTCTGACAAAACTTTAATAAAAGTGAAACATGTTAGATTGATATGTTTCCTATTTGTTCTTATTTTATTATATATATATATATATATATATATATATATATATATATATATATATATATATATATATATTAAAAAGAAGAGAAACCACATAATAAAGCATAATACATTTTTTAAAAAAATCCACATCACAACCAAAAACGTTTGCAGTTTCTCTCTTCTTTTTTAATATATACACTTTTCTCTCATTGGAACAACTATAACCTCTTCCCTTTACAGCTTAGCATTTAAAACTGAGATATAAATCTCAAAAGAGTCAATTTATAGATTTGGTTTCTATCATTTTGACACTGTCTAAATTTTAGCTCATATTAATCCATACAACAGACAAATTTTTGTCTCTGACTTTGACATGGACTTTCAATAATTATATATATGTATGTGTGTATATTTTAATCATTTCAATCCAAGCAAGGCAGGAATACCACAAGTATACAGGGGGTTACAGAGAGTGGAAGTGAGAGAAAAGATTTAGCATAAGGAGGATTGAGGAAAGAACAAAAGATGAATGGGATTCAAAAAGATAGAAGATGCGGATTGATGTTGCATTTAAATTTTTAAAGATTGTATTTATGAGAGAAGCAAGTAAACAGAAGAGAGTTCCAAAGATGTGAAGTGTGAGAAAAGAAACTGTTGGAGTAGAAATGGCAGTTGCATTTAACTATTTCAACAGTAAAAAGGTGGGACCTAGATGCTAATCTAGTAGCACGCTTAAATTCATATAATTGGGACACCAGAGAAAAAAGCTTGTCAGAGTAGTTGCCATGAAAACATTTGTAGTAAAAACAGAAGTAGATATAAATATTTAGCGAGTCTGAGGGATTTGCATTCATAAGGCACTCTTCACTCTTGCTTGATTATCAACGCTCTCTGTGGCTGAAACCATCTAAGGTACATTGGATATAACAATGGTTTCCCCTTCCAAGGGAAACACATGTTTGAATCCTGCTAGAGAACACATATTAGAAATTTCTCAAATATTCAGGCCTGTAGACAAAAATAAAAAAATATACACTTTAATTATTAAAGGCAGCTTCTATTGAAGTATAGGTATCACTAAAAATAACGTTTAAATAATAAAATCTGTCAGATTAATAAATACAAATCTATCACATCGTTAAAATGGCTTTGTTTACGTTAATATAGGAAGCTTAATAAATATAATTGTTTTGTGAGTCTGAGAAAGATTTGCATTCAACTCTGATCACTGAAACATTTTGTGGGTGAGATGGTCTAAGACATGTGTAATGAGTTGGTCGGTCAACTTGACCCCCCAAAGAGAGTGGAGGTGGGCAGGCACAGAAACTGTGATTGGTAGCTGGCTTGTTGGTGTTTTGCATAGGTGAGTTGCCAAGCTCTATGTAAAAGGCTGGAATAAGGAGGAGGGCAGTTCAGCTCAGAAGTGGAGACTGTGCCCATCGCTACGACAGTAGGAGAGAGACAAAATATGTTTATGCTTTTTCCGTGACACATTTCAACACATGTTGGATGTAACAATGGTTTCATATCTTACCAGAGAATGCATATTTTTCTTTTATAGATTTGCAATCAACTTTCCTTGACCATTGAAACACTCTGAGGGGTAGATGCTCTAAGATATGTTGGATGTAACAATGCTTTCCCTGCCAAGAGGGACACAGTTTCATATCTTGCCATAGGATGCATATTTTTCTTTTATAGATTTCTCGAATATTCAGCCCAGATGAAAAGAAATGGAAAATCTACTCAAGTATCGGTATGCACTAAAAATTATAAGTAATAAAATCTGTTGGATTAATAAATAAAAATCCATCACTTCTTTAAAGATTTGTTCTCTTAGGAAATATGCGATTATGGCTCTCCACAACTTCCTATCTCTTCTAGTACAAGGCAATGTTTGTTTCTTTACTATCCCTCTCACTTCCTGTTCTGCCATCTAAGATCTTTAGGTATGTTACTCACTGTTTTCCCCATTCCCTCATGTCATCAATATGCCCTATGAGTATCAAATTCTCTAAGCTCCCTTTCCTTCTATATAATAAATGCGAACGTCAGTGTGTCACTGTGTCAAACTTTTTCAACTTTACTTCTAGAGGCTGTAACCTAATATATCATAACATCTTGGTGTCAGGCTGACTCTGTTAGCAAATTAAAAAACATTCTGTGCTGAATCAAGATCCGCAATCATTTAATTTTGGATTCCCAAGTTTTTGTAACTGTGACTGTTATCTTTTTTTTTTAAATGATTTTTTTGCAACAAATTTTTTTTGTACAATAACAATTTTTATTACTTGGAAATAAATTTGGGAATAATCAAAATTTATTGCAAAATCAAGCCTGAAATAAAAATAATTGTATTTACAGAAAGCAAAGATTTATGTACATCAAATTGTCTTTAAATTAAGCGGCGACAGAAGAATTATTGTTGAACTTTTAAAAATAAGCCTAAATATTAATGCAATACTTAAATGCAGCAATCAGTTTTGAGTTCGTATGTACTTTAAGTTAATCCGAAAAAGAGAAAATTGAAGGGAAGAAAAAATTTTATTATCCTGTTTTATAATTTTTATGTAAGGTGAAATATTTAATTGTTTAAAAGAAACAAGAACTGTTAAGAAACCTTTGATCAGGGTCCCCAAAGCAAAAGGCTTGGGGAAATTCATTATATATTCAGATAGATTTTTGGACAAGGGAGAGAGTTAAGTATGTTCTACTGAAGACAAATCATCACATCTAGTTGTGGGTGGGGAAGTAGTCAGAGTCATTAATACATTTCTATAAAAAGTAGATACCTTTAGCAATTGACTAAGTAACTAAACATCTCCACAGAATGTCTTAACTTTTTACTATGCTATATGTGACTTCATTTGCTGTAAAAAAAAATTTATCCTGCCACTGAAGGTGACTCTGATTCCAAACAATAGTGTGTCTGAATTTCATAGATGTATTGTCATATCCTGCTATGGCAAAACTTTGAGTGAAATTAACAATAAGGATATTGTAACCGAGAGACCTTGAAAAAGAACACAGTGGAAAGTAAGTAATATTAATAATGCAGAGTGCTAAAGATTTTATGAAGTAGTCCAGTTCAAGTAACTGTACTCAACTTCAAAAAACAAAGTTCTAAGTGGAAAACACCTATTCTAGCCATTCTTTTCAAACAACCTTTGTGATCCAACCTTCTTCATCTTTTCTTTGTGATAACACAAGCCTGTAAAATCAACAGTGATTCACATACAGGCAATTTGTGTTATACAAATATAAACTTAATACTGTGCTTTATTTTTAACAGCTTTATTCAAAGTATTTATCAAAACACAAATCCAAATTAACAGAAATACATATGAATTCAAAATTTCTAATATAGGTATAAAATAGATTTTTTTTAATATCTGCACTAATGTACATGTGCAGGATATAATATATCTACATTGATGAATAAAAAAATTATCAATACAAAAATGTGTTGGATATTGTTGAAATCAGACTGTCATTAACAATAGTCAGTTTAATCAGACTGTCACTAACAATAGTCAGTTGACATCATGCTTAAATAAAAAAAGAAACAATTTTCATTTACATAAACAAAATATTAAATATTTTCAGCTGCTAGAACAACAACAAACAAGACATTAAACATGCCTACTGGTACATATTTTCAATTAATTTTTGCTTTCAATATATACAAACTAAAATTACTCAACAAAATGTCATTTTATAGGTTCGTTTGACCAGAAAAATTCAAAGAAATATTTATAGTCAAATATTATAAGTATTTATAAGTATTTATAATTTATAAGTATTTATAATATGCAAGTGCTGGCAAACTTGGACTTTTGTGCCCACAAAAAAATTGAATAACAAAAGAACAGTTTTTCTAAGGGTAAACTAAAATTACTCAACTAAAAGTCATCTTTAGGTAATTTTGACCAGTAAAATTTTAAAAATATATTGATATTAAAAGTATCTATAATATTCAAATGTTTATTACATTTTGTTACTTCCTCTGCATTGTGCAATATCTATCATTTATGTATATTGACTGAATTTGTTTAAATACAATTGAATTAGTTTTTAAAATGTAAATATAAAATTATTCTTATGAATAAAGAATCTAATAATGCTTCATATTTTTGTTAAAAAATTCACAGAAGAAAAAAAGTATAAATTCACTTTCATCATATGCTTAGGTTTTATTTAAATTCTAATGATCACTTTTTAAAACAATTAACACTGCCGAGGAGTGCAAGCAGTTAAAATAATAGCATTAGTTTTAAGAATGTTGTGAATAAAATAAAGGATGTTGTAAGTATAAAATCATTTGTGTAAATAAAAACAATCTCACAAATGAAAAACTGCTGAGGAGTGAAGGTAGTTAAAATAATAATAGTGGTGGCAATGAAAAAAACATCCTTTTGATAAAACCTCTTTTAGCAGGCATGAAGGTAAAAATTTTCCCAAATACTTATTACATTTCATTAATTCCTCTGTATTGTACAATATTTATGGTTTACGTATCATATTTTGGACACTAATTCAAGAATTGTTTCTACCCCAGGTTCTGATAAAAGTTATGGAGCGTTGAATAAATGATACCAATGAACCAAAAAACCGTAGATATTCACTTTCGTCTCTATTTTCAGTGGCACCTTCCTCTGGAGACTCTGGAAGGAAAAATAAGTGAAACAGATAATAATAATAATAATAATAATAATAATAATAATAAGGAAGCATCATAATTCACTTTATCATGAAACAATTTCTTGAAGTATTTGAGGAAGCTCATTGCTATTCATAAGTTCATGCAAGCATACAGACACAGTTTGTCAGTTCATGTTTTCTTTCTCAAAATGAAATCTAACATTAGAGGAAGATAATATATTTGTTTTTATCATTTTACCTCAAGCAAGCTGATGATGCCAATAAGATGCAAGGGCTTACTAGGTGTGAAAGAGAATGAGAAAACTTTAATGAGGAATAAGGACAATAAAAGAACAGATTTCAGAAAGGCAGAAAATGATGATTGATATTACATTTAATTTTTAAATATTGTAAGTAGCAGGGAAGCAATAAACTGAAAGAGAGTTCCACAGCCAAGAAGTATGAGAAAATAAAGTATTAAAATAGAACTTACAGTTACTTTGTGCTAACTCAACAGTAAAAAGATGAGACCTAGTTGCCAATCTAGCTGTATGCTTAAATTCATGCAGTTGAAGAGAAGATCATTAGAACAACTGCCATGAAAATATTTATAGAAAAGACAGAGGGAAGTCACATCACAGCAGTCAGAATGTGACTGAAGTCAAGATCCCAAGTGAGGATTGATAACATTACAGGCCCTTCTTTGGATTTTTCAATAAAGAAATACTGGAAAGGTATACAAGTGTAGTGATAGCAATGTAATGTTATTGTTCACCTAATACAAGGCCTAAGAGCCACTCAATATAGAGCGTTATTGAATAGCATTTGTTTTATGTATTTAAAAATTGTAGACTATAGAAATATGTAGGATAGATAATGGTTGACCATAGACTTAAAAAGGTTAAGATTGTAGCAGTCAGAGAAGCATCTTCTTGGGAGTCTGTTCCACAATGTAGCAGCTCTTGGAAAGAAGCTGTCTGAACTTTCTTCTTAAATTCTGTCAAATTCATTAGAGATATTTAAAGCCATAGACTGATCTTCATCATTATTATCTAAAGCTTGGTAGACTCTTTTATTAATAACCATTGACACATCAGTGGAAGACTTAGAGAAGTAAAAGCTATATTGTTTATATGAAAGAAAACCCAGCAAAGTGAGATACTTAACTAATTGAAAGTTGATAAGAGCCTTTTCCAAAAGGAGGTAGAGTACTAATATGTTGATAATTCAAAGGATCAGACAATTCACCCAAGTTCCTAAAAACAGGAAATACAGAAAATTCCCAATAAGTTGGAAAGCAAGAAGCAGCAAGGTATTTGCTGTAGTGTTAAGAAAGAATAGGAACTAGTTCAGGAATATATTTCTTTTGAACAACATCAGTTCTACATGCCTTGTAGAGATCTAGTTTGGAGATGATAGCGGAAACCATGGACAGAGTTATATGTATATCATATATACCTAAAAAGATGCTGCGGTTTGGAAGATGCAGCCTAATATTGAAAAGAAATTTCTAAGAAAAAAAAGCTCATTCTCATATAACAGCACATTCACTATGTGTCCCTCACATACTGGCACAACGAATTGCTTACATCAATCACTCATACGATTTTGTTTGTATGTTGTATGGCAACGACATAAGAGCTGGTGGTTAGTAAATATACTATACATCTTTCATTGTCCAAGGATGGATTATTTTCATAAAAATGAATTAAAAATTTAAAAAATATGCATGTAAAAATATAAAACAAAGAAATTTTATTCATCCTCAAATCCCAAGAACTCATCACTGCTGGATTCATGTAAAAGCTCTAAACTCTGCAGTCATCACTACTGTCAGCCATGTACAATAAATGATCCTCACTACCATCCATATTATTACTTATACCACACTTTTGAAAGACTTTACAACAATTTTAGTATTAATAGCATTCCAAGATTTCAAAACCCTTGAGCTATTGATGGGCATTTCATCCTTCCAGTGTCATTTCACATCTTCCCTGTGCCATCCATTTAGACCATTCTTCATGCATGTTATTCTTGAATAGTTTCTTAATGCTCACAAATATTGGCTACAGATGGAAAGTAAGGCTACCAGGAATTACAGCTAATGTTTCGTTCATTTCTCTTGCTAGTTTTTTTTTAGTGTTGTCTGTCCTGTGTGCACTGAACTGATTCCATAGTAGCAATGCATTTTTTCATAGCAGGCCACCAGGCTGATTGGACTACACTTTTTCCATCTACACTTTAACTCTCACTTCATCCATTCAGCCTTTTTGCAGAACAATAACATGAATTCCATCTGGCAATTTCTATCTGGTGTATGATGCAACCCCCTTAAAATTATCTTCAAAATTATAATTTTCAAAAGTCACATGGTATATGAGTATATACAGTAATTTAAATTTAACTATATCTTTCTGCATCCAATGAAATCCTAAAGGATAAAATGCATCACATGAAAACTTTTTTCATTTTGTCACTGTTTTTCTAAAATTGTTCTTGATTTAAAAATTTATATATTGTTTTCCTCATATATAGTATGTTAGGAAAGCAAAAACCTTACAAAAAACCTTTACAAGGCTTTATTTAGCTTATTGCCTGCTATAGTCTGAAGAGTCAATTCAAGGGGAACAACTCATGCATACAGGCACATATATCTATAATAACAACTCATGCACACATACAACATATATCTATAATATTCCAACAAAAATAAGTTCTTTACCATTGATAATGAGTTGAAGACTTTTCTGTAGCAGAGAAGCAAATCTCAAGTGTAAAAGCAGCTCAAATTAAAAACAATTATGACTTACCAGTATGAACATTCTTCATGGGAAAATATTTCAATAGTTTTTTTGTATAAAACTTAACATCTTTATCCAAAAACAGACAAAATATCACTCGATCAACCTATAGCAAGAACAAGAAAGGCTTAAAATTATGAACATTAGAAAATGCATGGTAGTGACAAGTAAACATTGCAATGTCAAATGTAATTAATATTCATAGTAAAAGATATACAAGATAAAACCTCATGATGAAAAGTTGAGGGTGAGAGAGAGTGAAAAGGATAGAGCAGAGAAATTTACATATAAGAACTCCAGAAATGAGATTTAGAAAATATATATAAATAAATGAAGATGATTATTAATTTTTCAATTCATATTTCTTTTATCTTAATTTCATTTGTTTTTCATCACAATTCTCATATTGTTATTCTGTAACGAGCATGCGCGGAAACGTCCTCGAACTGCGTGTGTGTGTTGTCGCCGGACACACCTTGGGGTACCATAATGGACTCGACCGAGGACTATAAGAAGAAGATGTGCGAGTCGTTTGGCGTCTTTTCTTGGGCGACAGCTGCTGTTGCGGTCAGTCGTCCGTCGGCAGCAGTTGTGGGTGCTGTTTTGCTCGTTTGCTGTTGTAAAGTTTGGTTCGCAAGAAGGCATTCGTTTTTTGCTTCGCAAGAAGGCGGTCATTTTTTGGTTCGCAAGAAGGCATTCGTCCTTTGTGTCACAAGAAGTTTTTTTTTTTTTTTTTTTTTTCCCATTTTCTCGCACAAGCTATTTCGGCATTATGGCCTTCGACCTGAAGCTGATACCACTGTTCGATAGTCGGTAGTGGAATGGTTGGAGAAGGCGAAACTAATATGTCAGTTGAGCGGTGTGAAGTGAATCGAGTGTGTTATTCCGATGCGTTTGGCAGGCGGCGCATATGCTGTGTACCAGCAATTGAGCAAGGAGAAGCGCGCAGACTTCAATTGTGTTAAGAAAGCATTATACACAGCTTTCGCCTTAGATCCCTTCTCTGTGTGGAAGCAGTTTGCAGCACGTCGCCTTCATCCAGGGGAGACGTTCGACCTCTTTTTGGCAGAACTGTGCAGACTCGCAGTTCTGTTTGGTGACGTATCAGAAAAGTGTTTGCAGTGTACATTCGTTGCAGGATTGCCTGAGCATGCAGAGGAGCTTTTAAGAGCGTCATCACAGATGGAAGACCTGGATTTGTCACATGTGTTGGCACGAGCTCGTGCTATTTTGAAGAAGTGCACTGGTCCTTCAGAGCAGGCCGCAGTGGCTACACAGTTGAAGGAAACAGATGTGCACACGAGGTGCTATAAATGCGATGGAGTCAATCATAGGGCGAGCGATTGTCTCCTGGGTCATGAACCATCCAAAGGTGCTGGTACCAAGCATCGATGGACCATCACTTGCTATTGATGTCATCGGCAAGGGCACATTGCTCGGTGTTGTCAGGGAAACGGGCAAGGGGTCAAGAATTCAGCGCCAATCTCCTCCTCAAAACTGTTGTAAATGGCGCGTTGCCTGTAGTGACAGTTCGCATCAATGGAATACCACGTACAGCTCTGGTGGATACAGGATGCACACAGTCACTAGTCATGCTGTCGTGCATGGACAAGAAAATTAACATGCGTGCTTACAGTAGACGGAGGCGCACTTGACTGCTGTGGAATTGGAGTGGTACAAGTTAGTGTTGGTGCAAAACTGCCCATCGCTATGGAAGCCCTGGTCATGGACGGAGACCAGCTTGGATTTGACTTCCTGCATGGACTAGATGCCATCAAACAGTTGGGAGGAATATCTGTAACTGGCACCGGTGAGGTGAAGTTTCCGCAGTGTGTTGAACCAGTCGTTGCTGCCATCACCATTACCGAGTCCGACTTTAAAGTAGAATTCGATGAGACCATTTGGAGGTGGACCGCATCTTGGAAATGGGCTGGCAACAAACCTCCGGGTACGTTAAGAAATAGACTGGCAGAATATCCAGCTCCTGCACAAATTTGGGAGGAGTATGATTGGGAACTCCAGATAACGGCTAGATAACGGCTGGCTGCTTCCTTACCCAGAGGAGGAACTCGGACCCCCAAAGGGTTTAATCCCCCTCATGGCCATTCACTGTTGCCACTGGGATGGGATGATGAATTGCAGGACCCTTTTCTAGCCCAGATGATCGACGACATTTTTAAGAGACTAGCCCAGGACAATCCAGTGAATGGTGACTGGTGCATCAGTGATCAAAATGTAACCGTGTGGGTAGATGCAAGCTCCTTAGCCACGTCCTCGAACTGCGTGTGTGTGTTGTCGCCGGACACACCTTGGAGTACCATAATGGTCTCAACCGAGGACTATAAGAAGAAGATGCACGAGTTGTTTGGCATCTTTTCTTGGGCGACAGCAGCCGTTACGGTCAGTCATCCGTCGGCAGCAGTTGTAGGTGCCGTTTTGCTCGTTTGCTGTCGTAAAGTTTGGTTCGCAAGAAGGCGTTCGTTTTTTGGTTTGCAAGAAGGCGTTTGTTTTTTGGTTCGCAAGAAGGCGTTCGTCCTTTGTGTCACAAGAAGTTGTTTTTTTTTTCGTTTTTTTCCCGTTTTCTCGCACATATTCTATGGTTGTTACTAAGCAATTTGGATTGGATCAGCATTGATTATTAATGGATGCAGAATGATAGTTTAGGAGTTGCAATAAAAAGAAGCTGAAATTAAGATTAAAGAAATAGGCATGGTGGAGTAATGCTCTGATTGTAGAATTAGATAGCCAAGTTTTAATTGTAGTCATTATATTCACTTATGTGCTCTTCTCCCCCCAGCTGTGGGTAAAATAGAAGGACAGACTGCATCCTATAGTCTAGGAGAAGAAAGCTCTGAATTCAAACCTTTTGCTGCTTTGTAGATCCCTGCCTCTTTAGACAAAGGCTAGAAGAAAGTAACTTCAGAAATAAACCACTTCTAAGAGGAGGGACAGGGTAGTCTCAACATCCCTTGTGGAAATGGAACCAGCAAGCCATTGTAGAATTCTGACTTGAATGTCATCATGAACCACATGGGAGATGGGGGTAAGTGGTGACCACAGTGACACAAAATGCGTTAACTGAATGAATGATGATGAATGAATAAATGACAATATTTAGGTAGCATTTTTGTTGAGGCAGGACCAGGATTAATCCCACACAAAGTTAGGTGGGTCCTGCTTTACAAAGGATTTGTCATAATTATTTGAGGCAAGGTTTTACAAGTACAGATGCTCTTCCTGACAACCAACTCAGACACTCATGGTAGTCCAAATTCATTGGGTGTTTTTATCGAGACATCATCTCTAAGAAGGTTGTCATTTCAGGGCTGAGACCCCATTCTAGCCTGATATATATATATATATATATATATATATATATATATATATACACACACACACACATATATATATATATATATATGTGTGTGTGTGTGTGTCTGTGTGTTTTAGGAAAATATATGACAAAGCGGAAAAAGCTCTCAAATATCTCATATATATATATATATATATATATATATATATATATATATATATATATATATATATACACTTTACCAGTTTGTGACTGGAAGTGATAATTCAAGGAGGATATAAATCCAGGTAGAGCTCAATGTAGACTACAGAGCATTATAATGCTAATAAGAAGATGTAGACTTTAAGTTAAAGCCTCTATCTTCTTATTAACATATATATATATATATATATATATATATATATATATATATGTTGGTCATTGGCTCCTACAAGAAGCTCATCAGCCATTTGACAGGTCTTGTTTTTGTCCTGTTGGGTGACTAGCCACCCTCCTCACTAGCACAAAAGCTAGTTGGGGAGGTGGTTTTGAAGCCAAGCAACTATATATGTCGCAGGTTATACTAAATGTCATGATACTTGTAGAGGTCCTAAGCCTGACCTGACCTAAGAAACCTTTTTTAAAATTACTAAAAGTAAAATACCATCCTATCTTACACCCTTTAATATTGTGTAAACAAAAACATAACATTTGTTTTTTCCCTCTGGTTAAAGACAGCCCCAATTAAAGCTTTTTAATTAATCTTAATTTAGCAGTTTCTTCTCTCACACTTTTCGCTTATGTAAACTCCCTTCCAGCTCTATGCTTTCCAGCCAACTTTAATCTGCAAAAATTTAAAATGTCAATTTCTATCTACTGTCCTCTTTATTACTCTCTTCATTTTTTGCTCATCATTATTGTTTCTGTGCCTAATTTTTCCACACTCTGTAACCCCACGTGATTTAGTGGCATTACTGTCTTGAATGGGGTGATACAGTTTTACAAACATTCTTTTCTTTTTTTTATATTTGACTAGTCTTTCTCTCAACTTATTTTTTAAAATAAGATCAAAGAAAAGCAAGTCAAAAATTAATAATAATAACAGTACTTCAAAGAAATTGATTGATAGATTTGATTTTTTTATGATTTATCAACACTTTGTGCATTATTTAAAGCCCCAAAATATTCTGAATTGTAAGAATAAATTTCATTTTTGCAATTCTTTTGAAGAAAATAATTATTTTTTCCACATACAAATCCTATTATTTAACCCATAGTTAGGAGGAGAACATATGTATTTTTACCTTTTCCAAGTGAATATAATCTAAGTGAATCTAACTTGACTTGAATTCTCTGATTTTTCTCATCTCGAGCCACTATCTATTATGTTACCTGCACATTCTACTTGAAAGAAAGACACAATGGAACAAAGTCAGAGATTAAGATACCCAGAAGTAAACTAGATTCTAAATGATTTTATCCGGGACAGGTTTTATGACTGCATCAACAGTAAACTTCAAAGCAGTCACCCATTGGGCAAAAGGAAGTGGAGGAAATTAATAAATGAAAACTTTTAAGACCAAGTTCCATTTGGCCAGACGTTTGGAATTTCTATACACAGACTTATACAATTATGAGATAAGGAACAAATAGGAAAAGTTTATAAATCTAACATGTTTCACTTTTATTAAAGCTTCACCAGAGAATGAAATATGGAGGAGAGAAAAAATGTTCATATCCATATTTGATTCTTTAATAAGAGCAAAACATATTAGATTTATAAAAGTTTTCTATATGTTCCTTATCCTATTATT